AAAAAAAAAAAAAAAAGCCTCCAGCTCCACAGTCCTGCAGTGTGGCCTCCATCCACAGACCCCAGCCCTCCAGCGAGGCCCAGTCTGCCCACACACCAAGGCCTTGTCCCCACCAGAGCCAGACTTAGCACTTGATGCCATCCTATTACCATGTCAGAACCCAAAGGGGCAGACAACAGCTTCCAAATTTGCCCTGGTAGTAGAGACCACCTGACTCCCCATGTCTAGTTTCCCCTTCTTTTTAGCAAGCCCAGGGCCTCCTTGAAAGCCTGCACTGCCCTGCCTCACAGCAAGGGTGGCCCTGGCAAAAATCATGCCTGAGAGGTGGCCTGGAAGTAGGACCTACAACTTGTGAGTCACAGCCTCTGAAGGACACTGCCTGCCACAGGCCACCATGTGGGTGTGGTGCTATTGGGCTAGCTCTGCCCCCACAGGGAAAGGACACCTTAGAGCAGTGAGTGGGGAGGCGTCTGGGTCCCTGGGGACTGCAGCAGGCAGGGCCACCCCACTCCTGGGCTTCTTGCTAACTGGACTTCCTTGGGCCTCTGCAAAACTCACAAGTACAGTCCTCACCTGCCCTCTCCTCTGTTCCACCTGCCCCTCTCCATAGCTATTCTGCTGCAGCCACATGGAACCAGTCACCCCAGGTCATGATGGGCCATCATGGCCAGCCCTGGCCCAGCCCTCAACATACCCCCAGTGACATCTCTCCATAAGGAGTTGTTAATGTCTGTGGGCAGAGGGGCACTGTTGGCCGCGGGCATCCATGCCACTCACTCGTCTCTGTGCCTGCCTATTGCTGGTGCGCCCTGCAGCTGAGGACCTGAGATGTCCTGGACTGAGGACATCTCCTGGTTGCTGATCCCTGAGTTCTAACTAAAATCTGGAAGACTTTGCAGTAAGAGCTCTGGGGGAGCCACAGCTACCCTCTGCGGTTTTTATGTGCTAAGTTTTCCAGACCCCAAACATCTGTACTGTGTATGTTGGGCACAGGCGTACTGGGCTGAGTTGGGGGTGTGTGCTGCAGTCTGGGCCTGGCCACACCCTGCACAGGGAGGACGGTGCACGCTCATGGGAGGACACTGTATGGTTCTTTTCTAATATTACTTTTTTTCTGTTTTTATTAATATTTATTACTGTGGTTGCTCTGATGGTTTTCTTGTGGGTGTGCGTCACAAGGCAGCCCACGGGGCTCGAATGTGCCTATGTCCTCTAGCAGGAGGATGAGCATTCCCTGGCCAGCCTGTCCACTCTGCTGCCCCATGCCAGGCCCAGCCACTGTCTTGGTTCTTGTGGGTGAAACCCTTCACACCCAGCCTGGGCAGCCTGCCCTGGATGCTCTCCATGCCAGCTCAATCCCTCCTACACCTCTGAGTCTCAGGACACTATGTCCCTGTGCCTGCAA